CAGTAAAGGGGCAGTTTTGGAAGTGGAGCTTTGGATTCTTCAGCTCCCCCAGAGGGATTGAGGAAGGGGTGAAATCCTAAAGGATTGAGAATCATTTTGGTTGGAAAAGCCCTTTAAGATCAAGCCCAGCCATCCCCCAGCACTGCCAAGGCTGCCACTAAATCGTGTCCCCAAGTGCCACATCCACCTCAAATCCCTCCAGGGATGGGGACTCCGCCCCTGCCAGGGCTGGAAAACCCTTTCCATGGAGAATTTCCCCCAAATATCCAACCTCAATCTCCCTTAGGCCCAACTTTAGGTTGTTTCCTCTTATCCTGTCCCTTGGGCTGTGGGAGAAGAACAGAATATAAATATAAATATAAATATAAATATAAATATAAATATAAATATAAATATAAATATAAATATAAATATAAATATAAATATAAATATAAATTCAGAGGAGTAATTTCTAAAACACTTGGGTCTCATGGCCTGTTCTGGACACTTTTTTTGGTGGGGTTGATGTGTTTGTTGGGTTTTGGGGGGTTTTTACCCAGAGGAGAACAGCAGTAAAACGTAGGAGACAGAGGAGTAATGGATTGTCTGAAGACCTGAGAAGCTGAATGGTCTTAAACAGATCAAATGTGGGAAACTGGGTGGTCTGAGCTCGAACTGCCACCAAGAGGAAGAAATATTTTCCATTTTTAGGATAATGTAATGTCCTGAGCAACGAAAGTATCTGAGGAGACGATGGAGGAATGGATTTAAGAGAAAAGGGTGAAAGTGTGAGCATGAAATGTGGGAATATGGTCAAGAGAGATGTTCTGAGGGGGAGTTTTTTGTTGGAGGAAGCTCTCCTGAGAGAGCCCCTGATTCCTGGGACAGTCACAAAAGGCTCAAGAAGGAAAACACTTGGAACAAAGGCATTGGGAGGAAAATGGTTTTTGTCACATTGGCAGATCTCTGAGCCATAAATTTGAGGGAAACTAAAATGTGAATAGGATTTTATGATTTTTTTTGGGCATGTGGTGCTATTCCTTGTCTTTGCTCCTGCTCCTCCTGTCTGTGAAAAAAAATTTTTGCTCTGCAACTCCAATCCAACCTAATCTCAATTTGCAGGGAATGTCGGTCCAGATGCTTCATCTTCCTCAGAGCCAAAAAATAGGGACAGAAACCTGGACTGGGGTTTGTCCCAGTGGTGAAGGAGGTGAATGGTGGGATTGGGGATTTTGGTTCTTGGAGCCAGGCTGGGAGAGCTGGGGGGGTTCCCCTGGAGAAGAGAAGGCTCCAGGGAGAGCTGAGAGCCCCTGGCAGGGCCTAAAGGGGCTCCAGGAGAGCTGGAGAGGGACTGGGGACAAGGCATGGAGGGACAGCACACAGGGAATGGTCTTTTAAGTCCCTTCCAACCCAAACCCTTCCGTGATTCCATGAAATGGAGAAGCTTTTAATGAGGTGGGATGACTTCTTGTCCTTTCTTCCCTGAGGGAATCCGTGGTGAGGGGGAGCTGAACAGGCAGAATTCCAGCTGAACTGTCTGGCTTTGGGGCAGTCTTAGCAGAAATCTCCAAAGTCTGGACTTTAAAGGTCTGTTTGGTTTCTGAGCTGTTCTCCAAATTTCCAGTAAGTCCTCGAGGTCACCACAAAATATTGGGGGAGTGGCGACCTCTGCTTGTTCAGTAGCAGGGAATAATTACTCCTCAAATTCCATGGGATTATAAAACCCACTGCGATGTCTCGTGTGAGCCACCAGCCACTGTCAGCCAGGTGGCTGGACCTCGTGTGCTGTTGCCTTGGATGGTTACAAAGTTGATTTATTAAAGAAATGGGAAAAAAAAAAACCAAAAAACAAACACCTTCAGGTTTGAATTTGCACCTCAGATCAATTAATTGGTTAATTAGCTCCAGTTGATTGAGTAGCTTCACTCCAGGATCTCAGTGATGCTGCCAGGGGTGAGTTGATGAGGGTGGAGATGATCAGGGGTTTTTTTTTTGTGTAGGTTTTGGGAGATGAGGCACAGCTGAATTTAATAAAATCTTTGATTTGGTTCCTTTAAGGGTGGGGTGGGATAGAGGACCCAGCTCCCAGGCCTGGGAGAGGAGCTCCAAGGGAGGTCAGAGCTCTGTGCTTGTAAGTCCTCTGAATTTATTACTTGGCTTAATCACTTAATATGTCACTTAATTTTATTGCTGAGCTTGATAAAATTTGTGACAATCCTCCTTGTGCTGGGTCTAACCTCGTAGATCCCTCATTTCTGGCTTGTGATCCTTCCCTTTCCTGAGGGAAACACCTTTGGAGAGCACAGAGGAGACACAGGACAGGGAAACTCTGGTTCCCAGATCCTTCTTAAATCTTCCTTATTAAAATGTCCAGTTACTTACAGGTTCAAGTTGATTGTTAACCCAGACACAGGAGAAAGGCTGGGATTTGCACCCAATCCAGGTTTGTCCCTCGCCAGGCTGTTGGCACCACTGCTGGATGTGCCCAGCACGGATCGGGAGCTGCTCATCCCGTGCCCCCCTGGAACAAAAATCAGCGTTCAGAGACAGACCCCACTTTATCTCTGCAGTGCAGGGTGGCAAGGAGGTGTTTTTGGGGTGGGTTTTAGCACCCCTGGGAAGGGCAGAAGCTCTGGGGCTCCTCAGCAAGCCTGGATTCCTCTCCAGCCTGGAGCTGGTAGCTCGGAGAAAGGCGAGGAGCAACTCAGGCTATGGCTCCTCGAGGCTTTCCTTGCAGACATTTCATAAGACCCTGGCAGCTGAGGGCATCCTGAGGCAGGCTGGTTGTATAATGCCAGGACAGCTGGAGAATCATTAAATTACCATCAGGTTGCCTTTTCATTAATTTATTTCCTGGTGTAGGGCAGGTTGACAGCTGGTGCCTCGCTCAGGTGATATTTGTTGTTGCGTGTTGTTTGTTTTGTGAATTCTAAATGAGATTTCTCTCTCTCTCTCTCTCTGTTTTTTTTCTTTCCCCCCCTCCCCTCTCTCTCCTTTGGCTCCCAAGAGTTCAAAGGAAGCTGTTGTCCCTTTTTCTGAAGTGTTTGGAATCCAATTTCAGACCGAGAACAGCGCGGGCGTGGAGAGGGAGGGGGGATGGAACAGGCAGGGATGAAACGTCCAGGGTTTCCACAGCCTGTGGGATCGGCCCCTGAGGAGCCTCCTGGCTGTGGGGTGGGATCCTCACATGGAGCCTGGATGGTGAAACAAATCCACCCCAGGGGTGGTTTGTTTTACCATCAGGGGACCAGTCAGGGCCCAGTGTGGGGGTGGGTGACACCCGTGGGGTGTTCAGCTTTTGGGATAACCAGCTGTGCTCTGAGGGTTCAGACCCACAGGTGAGGTGGGAGAAAATGAGCTGGGAATTGTAGTTTTCCTGAATGCGCCGATGGGTGTCATGAACTGCTGTAACTCCACACAGGCACCTTCTCCTGGAATTCCTTGGGTTGGAGGGACCTTAAAGCTCATTCCAGTCCCATCCCCTGCCATGGGCAGGGACACCTCCCACCATCCCAGGTTGTTCCAAGCCCCATCCAACCTGGCCTGGAATTCCCTGATGTTTGTGGCTTTGCCATCCCTCTGTTCCCGCGAATCTCTTGGTGTTCTTTGTCCTTGTTTTGTTTTTGCTGACACTGGAATTGGTTGTTTCATTCCTCCCCCAGTTAAATCAGTGTGATTTTTGTCCATGTTATGGTCCAGAGAGAAGCTGGTTGTATCCCTCTAATCCCACACCTCCAGGGTGACACTGGGAGTCGGATACAGGAGAACTCATGAGATACTCTCAGAGCTGAACTGCTGGCTTGTGACTTGATGTTTGGAGCAAAACTCTTTGCCTTCCGCTCTTTGAGTTGAATTTTGCAGGAAAATGCTGGAGCAACGTGAGATTTGATATTAAATCCAGTCTATTTAATTTATATAATATGTGTGATTTATATTGTACCAACCATGGTGTGTCCCAGCCCCAGGGCAGGGATTGTCACCCTGGGCTGGTCCTGCTTGGGGACAGTTCTGGGACCCTCAGCCAGGAGAGACACTGAGGGGCTGGAGCGTGTGCAGGGAAGGGAAGGGAGCTGGGAAGGGGCTGGAGCAGCAGGAGGGGCTGAGGGAGCTGGGGGGGCTCAGCCTGGAGAAAAGGAGGCTCAGGGGGGACCTTCTGGCTCTGCAATCCCTGACAGGAGGGGGGAGCCGGGGGGGGGTCGGGCTCTGCTCCCAGGGAACAGGGACAGGAGGAGAAGGAATGGCCAGAAAAGGTTTAAGTTGGATATTGGGGAAAATTCCTTCCTGGAAAGGGTTGTCCATCCCTGGCACAGCTGCCCAGGGCAGAGGTGGTGTCACCATCCCTGGAGGGATTTCAAATCCCTGTGGATGTGTCCCTTGGGGACAAGGGTCAGTCCTTGGGGATGGTTGGACTCGATGATCCTGGACGATGGAGTGATTTTAAATCTCCAGCCACCTCTGGGTTGAGATCACTTGAATTCCCTGAAAGAACCTCTTCTCTCTTCCAGGGTGCCCGAGAAACCTTCGAGAGCTACTACAGGAAGCAGAGGAGAAAACAAGCCCGACTGGTCCTGCAGCCTCCCTCCAACATGGTACCTCCATCCCTCCTCCCTGGGGCATCTCTAAAACCCCCCCTGGCTCTTGGGCCACCTGGGATTTCATCTTTTCTTCCCCTTTCTCTTTTGCTGCAGCACGAAACCTTGGACGGCTACAGGAAGTATTTTAATCAAATTGTAGGGTAGGTGTGCTTTTTATATCCCCCAAACACGGGTGTCCTGGGTTCTGGAGGAGCCCAAAAAAAAAACCTGGGAGAGGAGGGAATGTTGCTATTTTTGGGGGTCCTTTAGGCCGAAAGAGGCACATGAAAGGTGGGTTGTGCTTTTTAAGTGCATTTTATGGCCCCCACGTGTCACCAGTGGGAGCGTGGAGGGAGCTGCCGGCTCTTGTGGCAGCCAGGGGATTTCTGGGAATTTGAGGGTGAATAACCCCTGTGGACCCTGCTTGCCCCCACTGATGAGGGGGACAGACCCTCTGCCTGAATTATCCTTGGATATTTCCTAAGGAGGGGATTCTCAATCCCCTGTTCTTTATTATCAACTCAAATTTGACAAGAGTCTTCCAAACCCATCCCAGCTCCCACAGGAGACTCCCAGAGACTTTTGATCCATCAAACCCAGGGGACAATTCACCTCATGATAATAATTTCAATATCTGTTCCCTGCAAAAAAAAAAAAAAAAAA